TACTTACAAGCTAAGTTTAACTCAAAAGAAAAATTCAAAAATTAGAATTCTAAAAGCGCATACACGTACAAACAATAAATGTGCAAACTATAATACTTACAAGTGTAACTCAAAAGAAAACTTTAAAAATTATAAAAATGTGTAACATAAACTCTAATTTTTATGTTAACTTCACGAAACTATTGTTCTCTATTTTTTGTTTTTAAATTTTTAAATTTTAATTTTTTTTACTCTATTTTCTGTTTAGAAACCTTGTTTACTAACAATAATTTTTTCAAAATTATTATTGTTAAATTAACACAAGTTTAATATCGAGTAATTTTTAGATCTTATATTTAAAATATTTTTGAATCACTACAAGAAAAATGCACATAGACAACACTAGAAAGACAACAGTTTTTAAGAAAAGTGTTGTCTTTTGTATAAAAGACAACAGTTTGGTCCAAAACCGTTGTCTTTGATGCAACACTTTTGTCAAAGACAACGGTTTTTACTTAACCGTTGTTATAAGTGTGTTGTCTTTGTACATTTTGTGAAAAGACAACACCACAACGACAACGGTTTTTAAAAACCGTTGTCTATGTGCATTTTTTTTTAAATAAGACAACGGTTTTTTTAACTGTTGTCGTTGGTGTGTTGTCTTTAAGCGGACTGGAATACACAACACTAGAAAGACAACGGTTTTAAACAACCGTTGTCTTTGTGCGCTCTTTTTTTAAAAATAGACAACGGTTTTATTTAACCGTTGTCGTTGGTGTGTTGTCGTTAAGCGCACTCGAATACACAACACTAAAACGACAACGGTTTTATATAACCGTTGTCTTTGCATGTTCTTTATTTGTTTAAGACAACGGTTTAATTTAACCGTTGTCTTTGATATGTTGTCTTTAAGTGTATTTGAATACACAACACTATAAAGACAACGGTTTTAAAAAACCGTTGTCGTTGCGCATCATTATTTAACATGTATATAAAATAAAAACAAAGATGCTAACTAGAAAAATCGAACCTATAACCTCATGCTTAACAAATACAAGGTTTTACCAACTACACAACACAAACTTTTATATCTTAGGGTGCAACATGTGGTATATAACTGGGTTTCTTCTGTGTTGTTTGTGAAAACCAAAACAACAATTTTAGATGATAATAATTGAAGAATAGAACCTAAGACCTCTAACATAATAAACTAAGCTAAACCCACCAAGTCACAACAACACTTATGTATTCAAGCGCAACATCTAGTATATTACCAAAATAGTTCTATTTTCGTTCATATTTAAATATAAAATTATTCACCAAAATTTCAAAGTAAATTCATTAAAGTTTTATTTTCAATTATATTACAATAAAGGCCAATCTATGAATTCAAAATAATAATAATAATTATCAAGTATAAAAAACAATATGGGGTGGTGTTCATAATGGTGCGGTATATATGATGTGTAGGGGTTTAGGGCGGTATATATGATAGGGGACGGGGTTGGTAATCGACTATTCCGGCTAGCGCATGACTAACAAGGTTAGCTATATGTTGGTAATTGACCCTTACGGCTAGCGCATGACTAACAAGCTAAGGTTAGCTATGTGTTGGTAATCGACCCTTCCGGCTAGCGCATGACTAACAAGGTCGAAACTGTACGTAATTGACCCCTCCGACATGCCTGGAACACGTTGAGAATAGATATGAAAGAGTAGTTGATCGATGCCGTATAGTTTGCTATATCCCATTTCTTTTGCCGCGATCTTAATTAATTAGCTCTATGTTCATAATTACCAAACTATATATTCATAATTTTTGAATTGAAATGCATATTCATAATGATTGAATAACTCTGATCTATATTCACAATTACAGAACTTTGTGTTTATAATTTGCGATGTTCATATTCCCAAGTGTTTATAACTATACATTTTAGAAATTGTGAACCAACAATACAGATTATGAATATGCAGTATAGAAATTATGAATTTATTGTATAGAAATTATTAATATATACAATTGTATTTAAATTAGAAATATACTGTATAGAAATTATGAATCTACATTATATTATAAAAATCTATGAATTTCGTGTTCTGTACCTATATACCCGGTTTTATTTTAATTGACCAGATGTAGCAACTCGAGTAATTAAACTAATATTTTGTTACGAAATTTCCCTCTAATTAAGCTAAGACAAATTAAAATTTCCCCCTAAGTCAAATTTTCCCTCTAAGACAAAATTGGGAATTTTTTGTCTTCCCTCTAAGACAAAATTACGCAAAGGTCGTAGGTTAGTCCAAAATTTCCTCTCCTTCAGGCTTCAGTTCGCCGACCGCCAGTCTCCGCTAAGACAAAACTTCAGTTCGCTCGTCCGTGTCGGTGGGGTTTCTGCCGGCTTCAACAACACCAACGATACAGCCATCTAGCCATCTCCGCCGGCCGCCACTAGCCATCTCCACCGACCGTGTACCACCGCCACGTCCAAGCTTCGACGCCGTCGCCAAAGCCCAACCTCTTCCGCCACCGCCGCCGCCATCCTGTGTCGCCGTCGGTCCAGCTGCCGCCGCCGTGAGGTATCCAAGTTATTTTAAGATTGTATCGAAATTTCCCCCTATAATCTGTCAACTTTATCCAAGCTAGGTCTGATTGTATCAATGTGTGTATCAATACAGTATTTGTTTTTTTTTTTTTTGTGTGAAAATATGATAGAAATTTAAATTATGATCTCTGGGTGTGATTATTGAATGTTTCAATCTACTCTTGCATAAGAAAGAAGTTGTTTATGCTTGTTCAATCTACTCTTTCTGCTTCTCCAGAAACTTGTTTATGCTTGTTTTTGGTATACTTTAAATTTACCACTTAGATAGCTACATATTAGTCTCTATGAATATGCATCAATGCACCATTCTCTTGGTAGTTGGACATTGGCAGTGAGCAGTGAGCTCATTTAGACTTTGGAGCATATTTTAAATTATGAACTATTATTAGTTTGTTAGACTTGTGATTTTTATTATTTATGGACATTTGATTTTGAAATCTTTATGTGATTGAATGTTTTAACTAGTAATGTGTTTTTAGTGTTAATTTTGAAATCTTTATGTGCTTGTCTTTGAACAAATATTGTTATTCTGCAACTGCAAATTCTGCAGCAGATCAGCTCTTATGGTGATGATAGTAATAACACAAAGGAAAAGGCAAAACATGTAATGTTATATGTGAGTTGTAGTGATGATGTTAGTTTTTTTTTTTTTTTTTTTTTTTTTTTTTTTTTTTTTTTTTTAGTAATTTTGTACTATTTGGGGTGGGAGAATGTCTGGTGGGTACTGACTGGGAAAATGAGCTCATCACTTCATTCCATGCAGTTTAATTTTAGTCTGTTTCTTTCTGCTCAGGACCACCTCATAAGCTGATCAATAAGAACTTCAAGTATCGTGCCCTTGAAAACTTCAAAAAATCCCCAGCTTTGAAAATATATATACAAAACAAATGAAATCAACAACAACTGCTGCATGTCTTGCATGCAATTTGCATCCTAGATTCTTGTTTTTACACACACATACAGGTCAATTATTAATTGCTTCTTTGAATCCCATTATATATATATATATATATATATATATATATATATATATATATATATATATATATATATATATATATATATATATATATATATATATTCTCCCATGCACATATGTATGAAAGAAATGACATTAATCTACCTCTTAATATAGCCAAATTACAAAACCAAATTAAACTTCTTTCTTTCATATAATGTGAAAAAGAAGAAAAATATTGCATGCTTAATATAAAAAGTTACAGCTTTTTGGAGTTTGAGTCATGAAGGGAAAGAGAAAAAGAAAAAGTTGCATTCTGTTTGACTGATATTACACTAAAGTGCACATCATTCCTGTGCTAGAACTCACACGAATTGCCGGACAGACCACATTATGCTGTTCATTTGTTTTTTTTTTTTTTTTGTTTTTTTTTTGTTTTTTTTTGGTTTTGTTTTCAGTCTGATCAATAGATTATTTTTCACAGTATTATTGTGATTTCTGATTCTTTGGGTGCTTTGTATTCGAGTTGATGAGCATGTATTCAATCTCTGGGTATGCCTGAATATATATATATATATATATATATATATATATATATATATATATATATATATATATATATATATATATATATATATATATATATTATTTGTCTTGTTACTTGATTATTTTTAAGCGACATGAATTTATTTTTCTTGTCACTTGACTGTGAACTGTATGTTTTAGCATAATCCGATTCATAATATAAATGAGATGATTGAGTATTAAGTTGTTTTAATCTGGTATTTTCATCTTGGACCACCATTTTAGTGCTCTTTTTCTGGAATATCAAATAAGGAATATATTATTTATGGAGATATTGTTTCTGCTATTATGGAGCTTACAAATTAGAAAATCCTCTTTTAGTTATTTTTATAACATTCTGAGTGATATTTTCTATTTATTATATAATGTGTTTGGATCCTTGAATTTTGAACTCATGTATTTCTGCCCTTGTGTTTGATATCTATTATGGTTCTTGTCTGTTGGTAGAGATGAGTTTGAGCATGAAATAAAATGGTAAAATGGTTGTGGGATAATGATATTTGTAATAGTTGAACATTAAAACAAAAGAGGATATGTCTCTAAATGTCAGATTAAAATTTATAAAGGTTTGTTACATATTATGTAAAATTGTGAAAGTCATTTAAAATTTATCTACAATTTAAATGGTTTCATTGTATGAGACCGATTAAAGGAGATAAGAGTTGAAAAGCTCTTGTGGGCAAAGTGTACTGACTGGAAAAATTGCTTCCTTCACAGAACTCAAATGTATCAAAAAATAAAATAAAATTGAAACATAGAGCTCTAGGATTCTCATTTATTTGTTCAGTCCTTTTATTAACTTTTAAAGATGGAAGTCAAATGTATCAAAATTGTGGATAAGATTGGCAGCCAAAGAGCTTGTCTCTAAAGCAATGAAGGTCCCTTTTCAATTTTCATGCCAGCAAGCCTTTAAATCTTGATACACAAGTAAGAATGGGAATAGTTTGACCATATGCTTTTCCCAAGAAAGTGGCCTTTGTTCATCAAACATTGCCTTAATAATACAACTATATTATTGTCTCCAAATATCCAATTGAATGTCATTCTTTATCCTATTATTTACAATCTGTGAAATTTGGGACAGTTTTACTGCAATATAGTTCTCTTTGTTGGTTTGATTTTGCACTTCAATGTAGTATCGTTCAAGAAGTCTTAATTTTATCTTAATGTATGGTGCTATGACAAAAATATAATGTGAAGCTTTTATTTAATCATGTTTGTCTTAGAAAGTGAGCGAGCTACAAAAGTCAAGAAGAAAGAAAAACCTTTATCCACATCGGCTTGCTCGTAAAGGATATGCCCGGCTAGCTAGTGAAATTGTAAGTAATTATTATTTCACTTTCACTATTATTAACTTCAACACATTTTCACCCTAAGTTTGACATTTATAAATCTTCTTGCCTGTAGTCGACAGAGTTGTGTGATGATGACGAAGTTAATAGAGCTATACTGTGGAAGAAAGGGAGAACTAGTAAACAAGGAGAAGTACAAGGAGATGTTTTGAAGACAAAATTTACAAAGATTGTAAGCAAAACCTTTACTGGTATTATCCTCTTTATGTATTTCTAAAGATTGTGGTTATATCATGGATTTTTCATGCATTACAGGATGAATATATTCAGCAAAAGCAAGATGGTTTGTTGCAACTTCAAGGACCAAATGAGGACATCCTGACACAGGCTCTTGAATCTAAGGAGCATGGAGGTCGGGTGAGGGCTATAGGGGGACATGTCAATCCCTCAACATATTTCAGAATGGGTAGAGGGATGATGCCTGCTCATGAGAAAAATGTTCTTCTAAGCAGACAAGCCAAAGTTGAAGACAGAGTAGCAAAGTTAGAAAATATGCTACTTCAAAATGTTGGCTGTAATATTTAGATTGAAGCAAAAGGCAGCTGTACTGCAAAGGATGCAAAGGGTGCGAAGAAAAGTGAAGAAGAAATTGGTGATATTCAACATAAATTGGATTTTGAGGACGATGATGATGAGCTGCAATTTATTGACAAAGAAGATGTCTTGGAGGTAAATTTTACTTAGTATGTATATAATAAACATGCGTTTCTTAGTATATTTATTTATCTAGCTAATATGCGTATATTTTGCAAATTAGAAACCATCTAAGAAGAAAGCGGCCAAGGAAGTCAAAAAGCTTGAGTTGAACTCCTCAAGTATGCCTAAGTCATTATGGCTACTTTACTATTATTACAAGCGTGCACTTGGGAATGGAGAGAGTTTACAAATATTGCTAGATAATAATGTCTTCGGGGAAGAATGTACTCTCTTTGTGCACGACGAAGATGTGACTCCTTTTTGTCAATTGATGCCAATATCGTACACGTGTATTGCTGTCTACATATGGTATGATTTAATATATATTTCGAGTCAATTTGATAACTTATCACTTCTATGCTTTGTTCTTCTAATTCAGTTTCCGTTCCAATGTTAGGTATTTGTATAACAAGATGATGGAAGAGAACAAGCTTGAGAAATTCAGATTTATGCAGCCAAGTGTTGTAGGGCATCTGCCAACGAAAAGAACAGATACAAATTTTCTAGAAAATCAATTGGAAAAGAGGGCACGAGCTTTAGCAAACAGACTGCTGGACATTCCAAGTGATGCAACACTTTTGGTGCCATGTAATATAGGGTAAGAATGGTTACAATTTACTTTCAATTGCATATATTGTGTTGATGTAATATATAATTATGTGTTTGTGTGTGCATAGCTTCCATTGTATTCTGACAGTTATCAACATCACTAAGGACTTAGTTTATGTGTGGGACCCTCTTAATCATCGCATTCGCGATGATGATTGGAAGCGTGTTGTAGAAATGTAAGTTTTTATTTTTTATTTTTTTTTTATTTTCATTCTTTCGATTTATTATTACATAATCTGAATAATCAAATATATATATATATATATATATATATATATATATATATATATATATATATATATATATATATATATGAAGGGCTATTAAAATGGTTCATGCATCCACTACGAATGCAAAGAAAGGATGCAGTAAAACTACTTGGGAAATTGTAAAGGTAATTTCATATTTTTAACTATATAAGTGTTTGTATATAGTTAAATTGTAATGCAAATATTATTTAACATTTGTAGGCTCTTCGTCAACCGGATAGTAACCAATGCGGTTTCTTTGTCATGGCGTACATGAAAACTTTAATTGAGAATATGCCAGACTTCGATGATAAAAATTCTGTTCAAGCACTGGTATTACATTCCATTTCTACTCTCTCTTCCTTGTTTCTCGCTGTTATTTAATTGCATAATGGTTCTAGGTTTTTAATGCTTTGTTAGCTTGGGTTTAAGCCTCTCTCTTTTTCACTTGATTTGGACAGTTATTGATGATAAATTTGATTTTTATTTTTTATTTTTTAGAATAAGTTTGTTGCTCTGAAATTTGGGTGTAGAATGCGTGTGAAAGCTCGAAATTTTGGCATTTTAGTGCTTGATGTTTTGTAATTAATAAGGGATTTCTTTGTCGTTTGTGTTTAAGTTTCATGCATTATATTCTCATGAGATTTTATCTGAATTGTTTATCAAATTTGGGTGTCTAGTAATCTCCCAAAGACTTGAAGGCTAAGACAAGAACCTGAATCATGTGTATCTGATCTGTTAACATTTTTTTTTGGGAGTGCATTTGTATTGCTTTTTCAAGTGTCTTTCTTTACTTGTTGGCTACACTTGTTATGATTCTCTTTAGGGAACTCATTATCTTGTTATGAACAGCTTGAGTATGAATGTGGTGAGAGTAAGAGGGCAGTTTCATTTCAATTCATTGCAAATTATTTATATCTATACTAATTTATTTTCTTACTTTTTACATGTAGTTTCAACAAGTTGATTATGACAAAGAGGTTATTGATCTGGTGCGATCTGAATGAGCCGATATTCTATCAAGTCATATAGAGTAGGTATGATTTGGTCATTCGAACGTTGTGATCATCTAGACTTGAATTGGTTCGGGGAATTGTTTTTTGTGTAGTAGTATTATGACTTGAATGATAATTAGAATTGGTCATGGAAGTCTTTTGACTTGTTATTTTGAACCTTATTAGCTTGTGCACAATTATGTAACTACACTTTGCAACATATGGTGAATGGATAAATTGTTTTTTTTATACGATTATAATTTAAGCAGGTGAAAAACGGTTAAAAACCGTTGCCTATTTTACAATAGACAACAGTTAGAAACCGTTGACTTTTCTACAAAAGACAACAGTTTATGGGTGTTTCAACAACACCCAATAGACAACGGTTTATAACTGTTGTCTTTTAAAGAAAAGACAACAGTTAAAAACCGTTGTCTATGTACGTGACTTTTAACAACACTGGTTTCAACAGCGCTTAATAGACAACGGTTAAAAAACCGTTGTCGTTGGTAGAAAAGACAACGGTTATTAACCGTTGTCTATTGCGTGACTTTTAACAACACCAGTTTCAACAACACTTAATAGACAACGGTTAAAAAACCATTGTCGTTGATAGAAAAGACAACGGTTAATAACCGTTGTCTATTGCGTGACTTTTAACAACACCGGTTTCAACAACACTTAATAGACAACGGTTAAAAAACCGTTGTCGTTGGTAGAAAAGACAACGGTTAATAACCGTTGTCTATTGCGTGACTTTTAACAACACCGGTTTCAACAACACTAAATAGACAACGGTTAAAAAATCGTTGTCGTTGGTAGAAAAGACAACGGTTAATAATCGTTGTCTATTGCGTGACTTTTAACAACACCGGTTTCAACAACACTTAATAGACAACGGTTAAAAAACCGTTGTCGTTGGTAGAAAAGACAACGGTTAATAACCGTTGTCTATTGCGTGACTTTTAACAACACCGGTTTCAACAACACTTAATAGACAACGGTTAAAAAACCGTTGTCGTTGGTAGAAAAGACAACGGTTAATAACCGTTGTCTATTGCGTGACTTTTAACAACACCGGTTTCAACAACACTTAATAGACAACGGTTAAAAAACCGTTGTCGTTGGTAGAAAAGACAACGGTTAAAAAACCGTTGTCTATGAGCAGGACCTACAACAACACCGGCTTCAACAACAGAAAGTATACCCCTACGACAACGGTTAATAACCGTTGTCTATGTGCATTTTTCTTGTAGTGAATATATTTGGTTTAAGTTGAATAAATATAATTTTTATTTTGTAAATTTTATATCCGAACTAAATTTATATTTGTATATAACATATATAAAAATATATCTAAATTAATAACCTATTAAGTTCACTTAAAATTTAGTTTAGATAATATTAATATTTTATGAGTTAATATTTAAAATATTTTTGGATATATTTATTTTGAGTGAAATGTTTATATATAATTTTTATTTTGAAGTCTAATATATATGAAAATTCAATATCCAATATTCAGACCAAACTTATATTACCATATAACTAAAAAAATCTGAACTAATAATCTATTGTTTTTCATTCTCAAATTCTCTAGTTCTAAACCCACCTAACAGACAAATTATGTTGTGCATCCGTATGCACCATGCATGGTGTATACGGATGCAAAAACGACGTCGTTTTAATAAAACGCGCGTCTTCCCTTAAAAAAAAAAAAATCAGGTTCGATTCCCAGCAACAACATATGGACTATAATTCCATAATCGATGAACTATAATTCCATAATCGATGAACTATAATTCCATAATCTAATCTATGAACTAAAAATTCCAGAACGAATGAACTAAAATTCCATAATCTATAAACTAAAATTTCAAAATCGATGAACTACAATTCCATAATCGATGAACTATAATTCCATAATCAATGAACTATATTTCCATAATCTATGAACTAAAATTCCAAAATGAATGAACAATATAATGTTGTTGCTGGGAATCGAACCTGAATTTTTTTTAAAGGGGAGACGCGCATTTTTTAATAAAACAACATCGTTTTGGCATCCGTATGCACCATGCATGGTGCATACGGATGCACAGCATAACGATTGCACCTAACACCCCTTGCATGCAACAAGAAAGTTCCAACGAGGGTGCGAGATGGTTAACAACTCAATTATGTTCTCTAAAAACGTGTTTAACCTTGACTTTTTATTTGTGTAAATGTTACATAGAAATGTTGTCAAATAATACAATCAACAACAAATTTTTTTTTTAAAATTATACAAAACTTAAGTAGCACAAATTAAATAAAATATTTAAAAAAAAATCTTGAAAAATTATTAAATCAACACCTTTAGAATATATATAGTTTTTTTTAGGTAGAAGTCGATCAAAATTTAACTAAATTAGTTTTATCTCACGAGATATAATTAATTAGTATAGAAATAAGAAAAAAGGTGCTAAGGCCAAGTGCTCCCTACCCTGCTCAAGCTACTTATTACGGAGTATATTTTACCTTTAAGTAAACTCTATATTATCATTTCAAAAAATGTACAATAAGACTATGTGACACTATCGTGTTCTTCCCACAATATATATATATATATATATATATATATATATATATATATATATATATATATATATATATTATATTGTAGAAAACTTTGGCCATTCAACTTATTATATTTTACCATTAAGTAAATTCTATATTATCATTCTAAAAAATGACGACGAGACTACGTGACACTATCGTGTTCTTCCCATAATATATTGTAGAAAACTTTTGGCAGTACGCATCCCAAATGAGCTAGGTGGCCGAGTGGATGAAGCATGATTCTCGTATTTTAAGGTCATGAGTTTGATTCTGACCAACACCCTTTCAGTTGAGCCCGTTGTATAGGGTCTTTTTAGTGCGATTTATCTCTATTGTATGATTTACAAGTTATTATACAAGAGTGAGTTTACCCATTGCACACCAAGCAATTTACCTCTATTGTGTTATTTGCAATTCAAGTTATTACATAGGAGTGTTTACACAGTGCACACCATTGAGTAGTGGTTGTACGTTTTGCTTGTCATCCAAAAAAATAAACTTTTGATAGTTCTAAATCCACTTAATAAACTTTTGATAGTTCTAAATCCACCTAAGGGCATTCCCATTAGTGATTTTTATGAGATTTTTGCAGATGGAAAAAAATCAAACTATGATTTTTATACTAATGGAGAACGTGATTTTTAAGTGACTTTTACTCCTGCAAATAGTGGTTTTTAGTGGAGCCCGCCAAGAGAGAAAAAGAGAACAAAAGCAACAACTGTTTGCTAGTTGAGTGCAACAATCACACCCAGTAGGCGCCTACTGGGCGGATAATATTAGTCTGTTTTTTTTTTTTTTTTGTCAGATTTGTTTTTTTTTTCCTTTTTCTTTTCACTTTTTTTTTTCTTTTCTCCCTCCCGATCTCCTAGTTGACACCAAAAAAAAAAAAAAAAAAAAAAAAAAAAAAAAAAAAAAAAAAAAAAAAACGAAGATGCTCTTACCCCTTGCATGCAATAGGGAAGTTCTAACAAGGTGGTAGCTAGTTAGCAACTTGATTATGTTCTCTAAAGACATGCTCAACAATCCTTATTTCTTATTGGCATTCTGACTAACAACTACACTCATTAAGGAGATTGCAAGACAGCAGCTAATGAATAGCTAAAGTAGTACAATTATATATCATAGGCAAAGCATTATGAACATTGTATCCTAAGTTTGTGATTTTAGTAAACCTTATTATATATGGTACTAACAATGAGGTATATATGCTTTGTGATCTTTATTATTTGCATATTAATTGCACATGAAATTGTGAGAGGGATGCTTAGCTTAATGATCCAAAATCCTTGGAACCTCCACAGGGTACCTATCAATCCTGTCAGACCATGCATTATAAGGCTTTGGATCAAGCTCAGAAATGCACTTCCAAACTGCACTATTGCACTTAAATCCACTCCCAAATGCAATCTGCCAAACCCTATCACCCTTCTTAACCCTCCCTTTAGCCTCAAGGTAACACAGCTCATACCAAATGGAAGAAGATGAAGTGTTGCCAAATCTATAGAGTGTCATTCTTGAGGCCTCAGCATCTTCCTTGCTCAGCCTCAGGCTCTCCTCCACTGCATCGATCACCGCCCTGCCCCCCGCGTGTATGCAGAAATGCTCGAACGATTTCTTGAAATTTGGTGTGTATGTGGGGCCCGCCTTTCGTCGTGGGAGGAGCGAGCATGCATAGAGGAGGAGCTCGGAGAAGGGGAGGACCCGGGGGGCGAGGTCCGATATGTTGGTTCTCAGGGCCTTCCCAGCTACTTGGAGGAGGTTTCTTGAGAGGTAGACTCCCATGTGCCCTGATTCATCATTTTCCTGGAAGACTGAGTGGTATGAATCATCATCTTCTCCCATGTGTGTTCTCACAAGATGTTTGAGCCTATATTTTGCCCTTTTTCTGTCTTGTCTTTTGTTTGACAGCAAAATTGCCACCCCTCCAGTTCTGAACAGTGTGTTGGTGAGAATCATGGATTTCACACTACCGAAATAAGCATTTGAGGTTATGGCCTCCATGCTGACAACCAAAGCCAGGGAGTTTTTGTGGACTTTAAGGATGTCTTTAACCACACCGATCGAGAGAATCCCCGCGCTGCACCCCATCCCACACAGGCTAAAGCTCTTCACATTGCTCCTCAGCCCAAACTTATTAATGACCATAGAAGTGATGGAGGGGGTGGGGCAGAAAAGGCTGCAATTAGACACAACAATGTCTATGCTCCCCGGGCTCACATTGTGTTTTTCGAGTAGATTTTTCACCACACTGAACAGAACCGTCTCGATTTCATCCCTGGAGGCCTCCAGGGAGCAGTCAGGGGGGAGGTGGTGCATCACGTGGGGGGCACCCGCCTCGCTGCTGATCCCGGACCTCGTCCCGGACTTCACGTGGAAGTCGAACGCCTCGGGGGCAGTGCAGTGCAGCCCTTGCTCCACAAAGAAGGCGGTGGTCACCCTCGTGTGGTCCGGGGGCCTGTAGCAGCAGAAGTCGAGAAGGTAAACCGGGTGGGATCCGAAAACACAGTAGTAGAGAAGTAGTAGTAGTAAGACGGCTGCCATGGCATGGAAGGGAGTGAATGATGCATTCAAGAAATAATCTGTGACCATTTGGAACATGTTTGGATAATGTTGTACCCAAGTTCTCATGCTGTCTGGTTGGGGTTGTGTGGGTATATATATTATATATAAGAGTGTAATATATACAGGTAATTTGTTATATAAACGGATGATCACACAATTGTTGTTCAGGTGCTATATTTACTGATTTATTAGTCTGAAAAGAAGGAGCAGTTTTGTAATCACAGCATTTGTGTGATAAAACTGTAGTTTCAACTTTTATCTTAAGTTTAATTCAGGCGTCAAATATTAAAGATGACAAAACAAATAACAATTCCGTTGTAGTCTAGTTGGTTAGGATACTCGGCTCTCACCCGAGAGACCCGGGTTCGATTCCCGGCAACGGAAGTTTTTTATGCTTTTATTTTGCTGTGCACGTTCAAGGCGAAGGAAGTAAGTACCAAAATATATTGGGGGGAGAGAGGCTCGAACTCTCGACCTCAGGATTACTCAGAAGCTATGAGACCTACGCGCTAGCCAACTGCGCCACCACCCCCATATTGGTTATGATCTTTTAAAGAGTTTAATTCTATACATGTTTTTGCTGGATCTGTGGGTTAGACCAGAGGTATTAGTTAGTAATAATGTGAATAGATTAATGAGGGGAACTAATAATCTAATATAGCTTAATAAAGAAGGGTAGAGCCTTTGTTTACACTTTTTTTTTTGTTTTTTTTTTTGGAAATACTTATTATATTTTACAAGGTAGTATCTTGTTCTATATTTTATCAAACATTTTCAATCCAAAGAATCTAAGCCCCGACCACCGGGGTTCAAACCTATAACTACATATTTGAAATGGTAATCGGAATGTCATCACACTATATGGTAATTGGCGGCCTTTGTTTACACTATTCAAGGCATTAGGCTACCATGAGAGCACACTCGAGCCTTTTGGAAAGAGAAGCGAGGAAGAAGAAGAAGAAAATCAAAGAAGGGAAAAGAACCTTTTTAAAGTTTCAAAACATCTTATTTGCGGTCTTAGCTCTTGGCTCTCAACCCTTTGTTCTATGTGCCTCTTCTTTCTGCTCCACCATAGAGTATACGGGATAGTCTAACTTATATCACCATTCTCTAATTTATCATTCAGCCTATCAATCTTAGGGAATGTCAATTATGCTTAAGCATTATCATAGACTTAATGTCTATTGATCATAGGCGAGACCCACTTCATTAAGTGCTCTTCTCATTTCCTTAGAGCAATCCCACTAGTACATTTTGGAGTGATTTTTTCATGAGAAAAAACTATAGAGTGATTTTTTAACAAATTAGAAGGTGTTTTTGTTTCTAAGTAATTTAAGTTTTTTATGCGGCCTACTGGTTGAGAGAATCTGAGAAAGAAAGGCATGTGAAAGTCTGAAAGGTATTGCGTCGAACCCAGCATGTGCATGCACCAACTGGGCACGTGAAACGCAGTTTGATGTTTTTTTTCCTCACTCGCATTTTCTCTTTCCTTGTCATACATGCAAAAACTTACAAAAAATTCGAACTAATGAGCCCCTCTCAAGGCGCAAATTATTCTGTGGAACCGGATCCAAATGTTCACAATTTACATACTAAATGTTTATAATTTACATTTTAAAAATTCACAATTTGTATACTACGAACACACAATGTTAACATATATGTAATTGATTACCTTGTTTTGTATTCACAAGTTCCTTTCAAATACTGCAGTCACACAATATTAACAGATTAGAATTTGATGATCTTGTATTTTATTCACAAATTTCCTTTTACAGTTATATGTTTTGACTTAGAAACACAATTTATATTCTAGAAGTTTACAATTTCAATACTAAAAATACACAATTTATACGTCTTTTAGAACCAAAGTCCACCTTACAAGGTGGACTCCGATCCATGGTATAACAACTCCTCTCAAAGGGGTAGGCCCTCCGGTGCAAGCCCAACACCTATACCCCAACATAGATGATTATGTGGTTACATACTTCCTAATGGCTCCTCTAACTCCGCACTTCCTTCGAGATTCCAGAACCTGTTATTGGCACCATAATTTTAGCAGTTGAGCCACAAGAAGAAAATAATAATAATAATAATAATAATAATAATAATAATAATAATAATAATAATAATAATAATAATAATAATTAGTTGCAAAATTTGATTTAGAATCAAATAATGAAACAATAGCTAGAGTAGTGATCAAAGATCCATGATTAAGATGATTTAGAATCAAATTTGATTTACAAGTATAGAAGTTATTAATATATTTATATTTCTGTAATACACTGTACAATCATGAGCCATATCCAATGCTAAACCGAATGAAATACGACTGTGAGATGTAGAAACGAAGCAAAAACGAAATCAATGCAATCAGCTGCCTCTTCGATTTTAGCTATAAGATAAAACGCTGCATTGAAATGAAAATATCCAAATTAGTGCTTCAAAGACACACAAGAAGAAAATGGCATTGAACATGTCCAACCAGTGACAAAAATTGCATTGCATATATTGATACCAAAGGATGCACATAAGTTTCCTAGTTCACATCCAACCAGATCCCGGCAAATTATTGTGTGGACCATGATCCACGCAATGATGTAGACCATGAATATCAGGTATATTTTTAATATATTAAAAGTACATTATTTTTGTACTGAAGGTATATTATATAAAATAATGTACTCTTAGTGTGCTATAAGAGTGTGCACTTAGTAAATCTTGCTCATATGTAATAATCTACAAACACACAAGATAGGTAAATTGCACATGAAAGACCTTATGCGATAGGTCAACCGAAAGGGGATTGCCAAGAATCAAAATCATGACCTTATGGTATTAGAATCATGCTACACACACACACGGCTTTGTGGGGTACTTAAAACAATTATATTGTGCACTTTTAGAATGTTTGTGTTGCACATTTGATTACTGGTTATATTTTGCACCTTTAGGGTTCGTTTATTAATTGGAGAATTTGAGAATGGACAATAGATTATTAGTTCGGATTTTTTAGTTATATCGTAATATAAGTGTGGTCTGAATATAAGATATTGTAATTTCACATATATTAGACTTCAAATTAAATAAAAATTATATATAAGTATCGTCTGTTTGGTAACATAGTTACCTTATCAGTTAATTTTAACTTATTTGACCATTATTAGCTGTTTGACTTGGTTAAGCAGTCAATAAGTCAAAGTACCTACGAAGTCCGTACTATAATGTTTTGTTCAATTTAGTCCTTATACCTTTATTTTGTTCAATTTAGTCCTCGTACCTTAAAAATTGATGCAATTAAGAACAATAGTTAACGGTATTAATATTACTGTTTACTTGAATTAAATGGACGCTGACATTATAATTGTCATGATATTTATATTCCTACTCATATATTACTTTATATAAATATTTAAAATTAATTATTTTAATTACTTCTAGTTGTGTTGGGTTTATGATTCTTATGCTTAATTTAAAGCAAGAAAGCAGGAATCTTAAAATTAGATGGAACAGCATTACCTATATAAACTATAAATAAATTTCCATGTTGATCCTTCGATACACACAATCAACATCTCTCATATCTTTAAACCGTGTCTGAATAACACGGCTCAAAATATCCACATTAGAATTCAATTTCAAACGTATTCTTCGATTGTGATTCTTCAAAATATCCACATTAGAATTATTATTATTATTATTATTATTATTATTATTATTAGTATTATTATTATTATTATTATTATTATTATTATTATTATTTAGTAAAAAAAAAAGTAGTTAAAAACAATGCATAGTTAAAACTAAAATATATATAGTTATGAATAGCATACTAACAATATAATAAGTATATGTGTAAAACTGTAAATACTCCTTATAGCGCGAGGAAACATTAAAAAAAAAAAACAAAAAAAAAACAAAAAAAAAAACAAACAAACAAACAACAAAAAATATCACCACATATTTACAACCACACAAAAATAGAAGTTAGAAGCATTATTTAACTACTTTTGTGGGCATTAGTTTTGTTAACAACACTATAAATACCTTAACCTTAAATCATACATCAATCATCCTAAGTAAAAACAATAATACTAAAATCTAAGCAACAACAAGAAAAATGGATACAATAATTTATTCTGCGTTCACATTTGTATTACTCTTCATAAACACTTCCAGGTTTATATATATTACTACAGAATTTTAGCTTAATTTTAGCTTCAATTTCTTTACAAATTTAGTTATTCGAGACATAACAACTCTAAACAGTAAATTGTTCTATGTTTCTTCCGTTGTTAATCTCCGATGATTGTGAATTGCAAAATCTTGTTGCGCAAAGGTGATAGAAGGCAAAGAGAGAGAGAAAGAAAAATATAAACAATAATTGAGAGTGCACAAGGGAAGAATTTTCATTCATTAGCCAACTAAACAACATAATAAAATATATATATGTTTACCTATAAACTAAGAAAGATAACCAACCACTAAAACATAATGGCCACATATATAAATTTTCATAACAATAATCAGGTAGTGCATATACATCATCCGGTGAGAAAACATACAAAACTAACTAGATAACCACATACATTAACCACAATAATACCTAACTAAATACTTTTGTGGGGATTAGTTTAGCTAACAACACTATAAATACATTAACATTAAGATCTTACTTCAATCATCAAAAGGAAAAAACAATAATATTAAAATCTAAGTAACAAACCTAAAGATGGCTACAATAAGTTACTGTGCCTTCACATTTATATTATTCATGCTAGCGCATTTTGGGGAGAGTGCTACTATCAACGTTGCTGCAAAGGCTAATGTAGATGTTGGTCCGGTAAGTAATTTAAATAAACACACCTAAATTTATATATATATTATCCGATTCGATGCAGATGTCAGTGTAATATGTAGTAAGTAATTTAAATAAATACAGCTAGCTAGATTCATATATATATATATATATATATATATATATAAAGTAATTTAATAAATACAACTAGATTCATATATATTATAGTATTTGATTATGGAGAAAAAAATTAATGGTGCAGGCATTGTTGAAAGCTTGGAAAGAAGGATGTGCGGCCACAACTGCCAGCACCGTTGTAATCCCAAAAGGCACATTCCCTATGACCCAAGTAGAACTTGCGGGTCCATGCAAAGCCCCGATTGAGCTTAAAATCATGGCTATCTTGAAGGCCCCTCCTAATCCTAAAAATATGGACGGCAAAAAGGAATGGTTAACCATTAAATACATAGATCACTTCACACTCTCAGGTGGTGGGACTTTGGATGGCCAAGGAAATGTCCAAGTTTATCCCTCTAAAGAGAAAGGTTTTAAAGGTGACAAGCTACCCAATGTAAGTTCAAATATAATTTATCAAGTGTAATATTTTTGTTTTATATAAACCTATTGAAAAATGATTTTTTTTTTTTTAAAGAATCTATTAACTAATATCTCTCTTTTTTTATTTTTAATAGAACTTGAGCTTGAATTTCTTAACAAATTCGGTAATCCGAGACCTGACTACTCTAAACAGTAAATTGTTTCACGTCAATGTTCTTGGTGGCAAGAACTTAACGTTTGATCATTTCACCGTTAAAGCCCCAGGGAATAGTCCCAACACAGATGGAATTCATATTGCAAAAATAATTGGTGTTACAGTTAAAGATTCTGTTATTGGAACCGGGGACGATTGCATATCTCTTGGGGACGGGTTAGAAAACCTGAAAGTCACAGGTGTGACATGTGGGCCTGGACACGGCATCAGTGTGGGTAGCCTTGGCAGAAGTCCGGGTGAAACACCAGTGAAGGGCATCTTTGTGTCAAACTCTAAATTTATTGGTACAGATAATGGTGTTAGAATTAAAACATGGCCTAATTCTCATCCTGGAGTTGTAACTGATATTCATTTTGAGAATATAGACATGCAAAATGTCAAAAACCCAATTGTGATTGATCAAGAATACTGCCCGAATAACGAATGCTCAAAGCAGGTATGTAACAACATATGAAATTAAACATAATTTTCCTAATATTTACTTGATGATAGGATGATTTTATTAAAACATAGCTTGTTTTATTTTTATTTGTAGAAACCATCACTAGTAAAGCTTAGCAAAATAAGCTATAAAAATATAAAAGGTACTTCTGCAACACCAGTGGCAGTGCAACTTGCATGCAGCAGTGGGGTGCCATGTGAAGGAGTTGAAATCGGTGATATTAATTTGACAGTCAAAGGCGGTGGTGCAAAATCTATTTGTAAGAATGTGAAGCCTAAGCTAACCGGAAAGGTAGTTCCACCACTGGCTTGCGGCAAATGAACAACTTTGTGAGATCGAGTTCCATATTAGGACTCCCTGTATTAGTAGTATTCTATGTTGCTACTACTATACTTCTAGCTGTCTAAGCTCTTCTGTGTTTTTATCTCTGTTGTTAATTGATATTGAATATACAATAATGCAAGTTTATACATTCATCTTCCAATCTATTCATACAATGCAAGTTTCTATATTTTTTCTATACAATGCAAGTTCTAGCTGCTTACTAAAACATGTATGTATATTAGATATTTTTATGAAAAGCATATTTCAGTTGCAATTAATCCTTTATTGGGATTGAAAGTGAGAACTTCTAAAAATCATTTTTTTAATTGATGCATTCAAGAAATAATCTGTGAGCATTTGGGACATGTTTGGATAATGTTGTACCCAAGTTGCCCGTTCTCATGCTGTCTGGTTGGGGTTGTGTGGATATATATATATATATATATATATATATATATATATATATATATATATATATATATATATATATTATAAGAGTGTAATATATACAAGTTGTTGACTCAAAGTGTTTTGTCAAAGTTGTGCAAAAAGAATTCCAGTTCTATAAATGAATATTAGTCATAAGAGGAATAACTAATGAAGAATATTAGTTCTAGAGGGAATTGTTATTGAAGTTTTTTTAGTTCTAGTTTGATTAGGAATAGTTTTGTTATTCACAAATATGTTAGGAGTAGTTACTATAAATAGGGATTGCCTTTTATTGTAGAACTTAAGCATTCAACATTAATCTTGTGAGGTACGAGAGTCTTTGAGAATAGGATACTAAATTCCCCTAGAAAGTAGTACATGTGTTTAGGTTTCAATAGTTTGATAGGAAAGATCATTATATTGTGCAATCTCAGGTTCCAAACAGTGTACTTTAAATATTGAGCTTTTAGTGGATTTAGGCAAGTTCTCAAATTGAGAAGTGCCTCGCAGATTAGGGTTGTTTGCCCGAACTGCGTTACAGATCGTTTGTGTTACAACATCACTGTGTGTTGCGCTCTTATATATATTTCAATTGGTATCAGAGCCAAACTGCTTAAGTTATTAGCAGGATCCTAATGGAGTTTCCCAGAGAAGGACTGTCAAGCACTAGGCCACCTGCCCTCATTGGCACGAATTTTTCCTACTGGAAAGCCAGAATGCAGATATACATCTTGGCACAAGGAGAAGGTGTCTGGAATGCTATAGAAAACGAATGGAAAACTCCAGTTGATGATAAAGGAAATAGAAAACCTAAAATTGACTGGAGTGAAGAAGAAAAAACAGAATATAACTTCAACTCGAAGGCAATGAATGCAATCTATGGAGCTGTGAGCGAAGATACCTTCAAATTGATTGCCACCACTCGCATAGCCAAAACTGCGTGGAGTATATTATGTGATCATCATGAAGGGAACACGTCTGTAAGACAATCCAAATTACAGATAATACAGACAGAGTTTGAAAACTTGAAAATGGAAGAAGAAGAAAATATCACACAATTTAGTGCCAGAGTTTTAAGCATCTCTGGAGATGCATTTAACCTAGGCGAACCTATTCCTGAACCTAGGCTCGTCAAAAAGGTCTTACGTTCCCTACCTGAGAGATTTATGATAAAGGTTACAGCCATCCAAGAAAACAAAGATCTAAACACCTACAAACCCAGTGATCTAATGGGAAATCTTCAAACATATGAGCTTGAGATACTGCAAAAAGGGAAAAATAATGACAAAGGAATTGTGTTCCAATCAAAGCAGAAAGAAAGTCCATAAATTGATACTGAAACCATGGAACAATCAATTGCTCTCTTAACAAAGAATTTCAACAGAGTTCTCAAAAAATTTAACAAATTTAGAAACAAAAGTGCTTCAATCAATCAAGGGGACTTTCCAACTGGACAAAATCAATCTATTTCAAAAAGAAGAGACAGTTCAAATACAGAAGGAATACAGTGATATGAGTGCAAAGGGTTTGGACACATCCAGTCAGAATGTCCAACATACTTTAAAAGGAAGAACAAGACATACATGACAACATTAAGTGATGACTCAGACAGTGAAGAAGACACCAACACCAATTTCGTAGCATTCACCGCAAATCATGAAAATAACAACGGAGAAGATATACAAGAATTACTAGAGGCATATACTCAACTACATGCCAAATGGGAACAAATCATCAAAATAAATCTAGATCTCATGGAAGAAAATCAGTTTCTAAAAGATGAAAAAGATAGAGGAGAAAAACGCCTTAAAGATACTCAGAATGAATTAATGGAGTCGAAAGGTAGAGAGGCCAAACTGTTACAAGAGATCAAGGAACTAACTGAGAAGCCTAGATTTCCAAATCCAGCATCCAATGAAAGTCATTCTTCTGAAATTCCTGAAGTGTCACAACATCACTTCCAACACCGAAGGAGGATCAGATGTTATTACTGTCATAGACTGGGGCACATAAAAGCATACTGCTTCAAAAGACAAAATGATCTATATTACAGACAAATCAACAGAGATTGGTCAGTACAAAGCAAGAAATTCTGGGTAAGAAAAGATCAGAATGTTACCTATACCTCAAAAACTAGCAAAGAACAAAACGTATGGTATTTTGACAGCGGGTGTTCAAGGCATATGATAGGAAATCCAGAAAATCTGGAAAACATTCAGTATAAGAATGAAGGACATATTACCTTTGGAGATGGAGGAAAAGGCCAGATCATTGCAAGCGGCATCTTAAATGTCCATGGGCTGCCTAGGTTGCCAAAAGTCCTTTTAGTACAAAGTCTAAAAACAAATCTAATCAGCATAAGTCAGCTTTGTGAAGATGAATTCAAAGTAGAATTCTCTAAAGACAATTGCACTGTGTCTAATCAGAATCACAAGTGTGTCATGATGGGAAAAAGGTCCGCAAACAAATGCTATACATGGAATGGTGACCTATCTGGTTTACAGACAACTAACAAGCAAAAACAATCACGGCACCAACATATGGGACACATAAATTCTCATGACATCAAAGGGGACCAAGAAATATTCCTAGACTATTCAAGTTATTCATCAAACAGTAAGACCTTCAGTGCAGACAGTACAATGGAATCCATGAATGTGGTTACTAATGACACAATTTCAAGAATAACCGCTAATGATGACGAAAGTCCCAGAGTTGTTGAAACAACTGTTCCAACACCTCTGACTACTGTTATGCAGAATCACAAAACAGAAACAGAACCAGATGAAGAAAAGGATGATGGCTCTTCAACGATCATTATGAGCCCTGTTCTGATTTCACAGGAACCCTACCAAATTATTCAAGACGAACACGAACCACCTCCAACCTGTTTGTGCGAGACAGCCCTGGAGGGCGAGGGTGGTATGACGATTGCAACAGAGCATTTTCCGGCGATGATTATGTCACCGGAAATTGGAGAAATTCCAGTTGCGTCCAGGTTATCCCATGAAGATCAGATCGGATATTTTAGAGATCATTTTGAAGAGCTTTCACCTGATTTTGTGTTATTTCCAAAAATTAATGATGGCGCAGAATTAGTACGTTCGAAATTCCGGTCAGGAAATCTAGATGCGATCGTAAGGCAGAAGAGACCGATTGATGGAATCTCAGTGGATTCATGTTTGCATGGCCAGAATACATCTCCGATTAAAAGAATTCTCGACAGATTGTCTCAGCTTTGGCGTCGCGCTCCTCTGATGTGCAATTTCCCTTCGGGATGTCGCGATTGAGGAGAAGTGATGAAATCAAAGGCGTTGGTGGTAATAACAGAGGAAGAATAAATCAGAGGAGAAATTAGCTGTGATAGGCTGATATAATTGGGAATTTTTTTTAAACAAATCATACTCAACGATAGCACTCACCAATAACAGAGATATATGGAATCAATTAAGTGGGAGATGAGTCAAAAGTCAAAGTTTTTTTTACATGAAATCAATTAAGGGGGAGATGAGTCAGAAGTCAAAAGCTTTCTATGGAATCAAGCTTTTTGCCAAAAATTTGACAAAGGGGGAGAATGTTGACTCAAAGTGTTTTGTCAAAGTTGTGCAAAAAGAATTCCAGTTCTATAAAGGAATATCAATCATAAGAGGAATAGCTAATGAAGAATACTAGTTCTAGAGGGAATTGTTATTGAAGTTTTTCTAGTTCTAGTTTGATTAGGAATAGCTTTGTTATTCACAAATATGTTAGGAGTAGTTACTATAAATAGGGATTGCCCTTTATTGTAAAACTTAAGCATTCAACATTAATCTTGTGAGGTACGAGAGTCTTTGAGAATAGGATACTAAATTCCCCTAGAAAGTAGTACATGTGTTTAGGTTTCAATAGTTTGATAGGAAAGATCATTCTATTGTGTAATCTCATGTTCCAAACAGTGTACTTTAAATATTGAGCTTTTAGTGGATTTAGGCGAGTTCTCAAATTGAGAAGTGCCTCGCAGATTAGGGTTGTTTACCCGAACTGCGTTACAGATCGTTTGTGTTACAACGTCAGTTTCAACATCACTGTGTGCTGCGGTCTTATATATATTTCACAAGTAATCTGTTATATGAACGGATGATCACACGATTGTTGTTCAGGTGCTATATTTACTGATTTATTGGTCTGAAAAGAAGGAGCAGTTTTGTAATCAAGCATTTGTTTGATAAAACTGTAGTTTCAAGTTACAACTTTTATCTTAGGTTTGTGAACCTTAAATAAATTAAAGATGAAACTAAATTTCAATTCCGTTGTAGTCTAGTTGGTTAGGATACTCGGCTCTCACCCGAGAGACCCGGGTTCGATTCCCGGCAACGGAAACTCATTTTTTTATGCTTTTACGGAGTATTTCGCATTGCTCGTTCACGGCTCAGGAAAAAAAGACACCAAAAATGGGGTGAGAGAGGCTCGAACTCTCGACCTCAGGATAACTCAGAAGCTATGAGACCTACGCGCTAGCCAACTGCGCCACCACCCCATGTTGAATCAGCTGTTAATGAAATTTAATTTATAATATTTTATGGATACATACTTTTTAACGAAGATATTAATGAGGGGAACTAATATAGCTTAATAAAGAAGAGTAGGGACTTTGTTTACATTTTTGTTGTTTGAAACACTCATAATTTTTTACAATGTTCTATATTCTTTCAAACATTTTTAATTCAAAGAATCTAAATCCTGCCACTGAGATTAAACCTATAATCACCTATTTAGAATGGTAACCAGGATGTCATCACATTAAATGGTAGTTGGCGGCCTTCGTTTACACTATTAAAGACATTAGGCTACCATGAGAGAATACTCAGGCCTCTTGGAAAGAGAAGCCAGGAAGAGGAAGGGAAAAGATTCTTTTTATGGTTTCCAAACATCTTATTTGTGGTTTTAGCTCTTGACTCTCAACCCTTTGTTCTAT